AACCCCAAAACCCCAAAACCCCAAAACCCCAAAACCCCAAAACCCCTCAATTTTAAGAGGTTGGAGAAACATAAGAATAACAATAATATTATTAAAGCATAAGTATGGATTGGGTTATTTTCTGGCTCATTATCGTCAACATTATGTCGCAGAGTTCATTCTCCTTAATGGCGCCCTTCTATCCCTCAATGGCAAAAGATGAGAAAGGTGTCGGATCGACAGTTGTTGGAATCCTCATGGCAAGTTTATCAGTATCATTCGTAATCACCTCGTGCATTATTGGAATGGTTATCTCCAAGATCGGAAGACGTCTGGTATTATACTCAGGAATCTTTATCGGAGTCGGCTCCATGGTGGGGTTCGGATTTATGATCTGGATTAACAACACAGTGCTCTTTATCATTCTGTCATTTACATTGAGACTACTAACTGGTGTAGCGTCAGCTATGATTTGTGTTGCCGCATACGCGATGGTTTCTATCAAGTACCCCGAAAATGTTCAGTCCAAGATTGCTCTTCTTGAAGCAGCCAATGGAGCAGGACTCTTTATCGGTCCTATTTTCGGAGGACTCGTGTACCAGTACACCCACTTCTGTGTTCCGTTCTTTGCATTCTCTGGGTTGTTCCTGGTATGTGTGCCATTCATGATGAAGTCTTTGGGACCAGAGCTCGACAGAGACGACAACACACACAACGATGCACCCAAAGTAGGCTACTTCAAGCTGCTCAAAAACAAAAGAGTGCTCTTCGCAGGAATCAACCAGTTTTGGAACATGATTGTATTTTGCTCAGGTCAACCTATTTTCGGCCCCAGACTTCAAGATAAATACCACTTTTCTGCTTTTGCAGTTGGAGCGATGTTTGCTGTTCCGTGTATTGCCTATATCATTGGAGGTCCAGTACTTCTGCCTCTCATCACAAAGAAGTTCGAGCCCAGGACAACTAAAATCGTTGGGTTCTTCATTCTGGCAATCTGTTGTTTCATCATTGGGCCATCAAAGATTCTGGGATTCCCTGACACGTCCATTGCAATGATGTCGATTGGGCTGGTTATTCTCGGACTGGGAGCAGCTTTTACGATCATTCCGATCATCCCAGAGATGCTGGATGCAGTGGAAGGGCAGTTCCTTGACAGCAGAAGCGAAGTCAGCGACAAGTTCTCAGGCATCTTCAACATGGCTGGAGGATTCGGACAGATCTGAGGCCCATCCACAGCAGGACTTCTCAACGACAAAGTAGGGTTCAACATGACTTTCGACATCATCGCTCTGTTACTGTTGGCACATGTTCTCATTTACATGATCGTGTGAGATGGGTTCAGGTCAGTGAGCAGGTCGATGAAGGCAACCTGAATGAGGTGCCGCAAGTCTTCAGGTGACGTCAGGAGCAGTACATCAACTAGTAGGAAATTACTTGAGGAAACAACAGACGAAGACGAGGAATCTATTACTAAGAATGAAGAAAGCTACGATGCTGGAGCAAATGCTAGCTATGCATCAACTGATGCAAGTTTCCAAAACAACGATAATGCTTATGCAATCAACACCGATTAGATATACTACAAAGTTTATTAAGATAGTTTCATTTTATTTCATTACTATATTCAATTAAATATGGTAAAAATGGGGTTTTGGGGTTTTGGGGTTTTGGGGTTTTGGGGTTTTGGGG